TAAATCCATAGATCCATTGACTCAACAAGAATTTGGCTCTTCGAAGGGTTGATAAATCCAAAAGGTGTGCAAAGGCACACCTGCAGGGGTATTCATTTTAGCATTGTTTATGGTAGCAAAAACCCAGAATTGTTCACCATTACCTGCGGAAGTAAATAAATGTATAGTAAATCCATTAATACTATACTCTTCACCTGGCTCTGCCCTTCCTGGCCCTGCAAAGGGTCAGGCCCAGGGTGAAAGGGCGCTGAGGTTAGGGGAGCAGACTGACTGTTCAGGCCGTCAGTTAGGCTGAGCCCGCCCCAGTGCCGCCCCACGCACCTCACTTCTTTCCTGGGTTTGGTCAATTTGACCATCATCCCGCTGGGCAGCAGTACCGGATTCAAAACTGTTTTGCAATGTTCTTTCTGATAAACACTGACATCGAAACAGATTGTATCACCATTTATGTTTTAACAGATCACGTAACTAAGTTGCTCTTGCTTTAAGAAAAAATTACTTCTATTGGGAGTGTAAATTCTGGTATTTAATTTTTGGATGTTCAAACTCATCTAAAGGAACTCTTTTTTCCCAGTAAGCTTTCGTCAGGGAGTTTATCAAATAGCTTTCAGTCACAGAATGATTTAAAAGCAAATCTTCCCTAGGTTCATCCTGTTTGTTATGGTCTGAGGCGTCTTTATTCACAAGGGTTCTAAGGATTTTTATATAATCTGTGTCAGCCATAAATTTCTGTGTTAAGGGAGCGAGAATCTTTGGAGCAAAGCTCTCTCAAAATGTTTTTCAAGGTACTAATTTCTGAAAAACAAATCAGAACTTGCCAACCCCAAAGCCTCAGAGATGTTCACCTGCTTCTTCTCGGCAGGATTAAAAATTCTTAAAAGGCCCCTTGGATGTTCTTCAGAGACAAAATTCCAGTGGTAGGAGAGGAGGAAGGCACAGTTCCAGTCATCTGTATCCACTGCCCACCCACTAATGCCTGCTGTCCCTTCCATAGGCGGGTTTGGTATCCTTCTCCTAGCAGGTGTCATTCACACACGCACGTTTCCCCAATTCTGTGCCACACAGGTCACGTGGTACTCTGTCGAATAGTTGCCAAGGCACATCAACCCTGAGTCGCACACCCAGATCTCAGATGCCTGTAAACCCTGGATCAGCACACACTGCCTGCTGACGCAGCTGTGCCCATGAATCCCTCAGACATGACAAGAAAGGACAGGGGATGAACTGCCCCAGGGCTCTTGTCAATCCACTTCGAGCGTCCAGAGGACACATGAAGGCGCGGGGCTATTTCTTTATTTGTGGAGCTCTCCCGATGACAGGGGGAAGGGACCCCAGCTTTTGGAGAATGGAGAGACCATCCCTCATGTTCCACAAATGAACTCCTGCGTCATCAATCACTGGCGCTTGAAAGGGCCTTGATCCCAGGATGCATTATTCTCGACTGTAACCTGCGTGTGGGTTTTAATTGCTCTGGCTAACTGCAGGAGAGACTACCTGCCCGCTGGGCCTCGGAGAGCAACCCCGCCATCGGGTCCCTTGGCAGCCGGGGCGCCGCGAGGCCTGCTGGCAAGGCTGCCTCTGAGCTGCGGTGATTAATACCTTGCTCTGCCAGCCCCTCCCGGCCTCCTGGGCTCCTCCCTCCCTCCGGCCCCTTCCCCTCCTCCTCCTCCCAGCACACCTTCCCACGAAGCCCCTGCTCCCTTCAACCCCAGGCCAGGAATTCAGGGTGAGGCCTGGAAGCTCTAGGGGGAGTCAGTGCCCCTGCTGAAAGCCCCAGCAAATGAAGGGCGTGCGCCAGCCCCTGGCAGGGAGCCTGCTTCTGCCTCCTTGGCCTGATGGATCCTGGGAAGATGTGCCAGGGACTGGTGGGGACGGCCCGTTTTATTAGGAGTCCAGGCTGCGACATGGAGCCCTTCCAAGGTGTCTTTCACATGTCCTTGTTCCTCCTCTAATACGCCAGGATTAACCCTACGCAAAGCACACTGGGCCGCAAAGAGCCTGTAAATTTTCTCTAGAAGCCTGGCTCTAAAATGCTGGCCTGGCTTTTGGCAACCACAGAGCTAAGCAAAGGAGCAGCGACGGGCCCGCCTCCCCTCTGCAAGGCGTGGGCCACACTGGCCAGGAAGCAGAGTGATGGCCCGGGTGGCCCGGCCTGGGTACCGGCGAGGGTGACTGGATGTGGCCCTCGGGCTGTAGAACCAACACTCATTTTCCAGGCAGTCTCTGCCCCACACTCCGAGCACTCCCCATCACTCCTCGCCGGTGCTCGGTGCTCGTGCTCGGTGCTCGGGCCCAGCCAGCCTGAGCAGTGCCAGGCTCCCAGGCTCAGCAGGACTCCACGCTTGCTCTCCTGCTCTGCTGCTGCCTTCTTGAAGCTCTTCGACTCTCTCTTGGAAACGAAAAGCCCTGTCATGGCCTATGGCCGTGGGCCCTGCAAGTGACGGAGCCAGTCCTGCTCCTGGGCTTTAAGGAGCCAGAGGAAGCCCTGCTGGGCAGGAGAACCTCTCCCGGAACACCTCGTGGGTTTGCTGTTTCGAGATGAGGGCTATGGGCTTTCCAGCGTGTGTGGGGGGCAGGTTCTCACAGCCTCACCGTGATGCCTTTCTTTATCGCCAAGGCCCCCTTGACAATATTCTTTTTTTTTTTAAGACTTTATTTATTTATTCATGAGAGACACACAGAGAGAGAGGCAGAGACACAGGCAGAGGGAGAAGCAGACTCCCTGCAGGCAGCCCGATGCGGGACTCGATCCCGGGACCCCAGGATCACGCCCTGAGCCAAAGGCAGATGCTCAACTGCTGAGCCACCCAGGCGTCCCCCTTGACAATATTCTTAAAACGCCGTAGAAATTAATTCCTACTGACTCATCAGTCCACTCCAAGCCCTGCTCTGCGTACTCTGTGTGCATTTTATCATCTAATCCTCACCACGGCACTGCGAGGCGGGCACCATCATTACCCGGTTTTAGAGGTAAGGAAATGGACTCTCAGAGAGCTCAATTTGTCTCAAATCAAACTCAGATGCAGTTAACTCCAAAACGTGTGGTTTTAACCACTAGACCATACGGCTTGATTATAAAAGGAAAATATGTTCTCCGTTCCATTGGCAGTAAGAGTCAAGATTGATGTGTCGATTGTGAGTGCGGGAGATGAAGGCTGGTTGGGAAGAGAAAAGTAATACAAAAACTTTCTCTCCCTCCCCCCCATCCAGTACACAGGAGGATTTAAACTGATATTGCCAGAATACCATAAAGAAACATGAATCTCCTGTAATTTTTTTCCTGTTCACTTTGGTCTGAGCTTTATTTTTAAGGCTGTTGGTTTAGGGGGAACTGTGCACACTTTTGGCTCTTGGACTGTGGGATTCATTATCCCAAAAGGGCTCTCAGGCCTCAGGGTTGGATATCTTCTCAAATGCGTTCACCAGACCAAGGATAGGCCCAGAATCCAACATCAGGGAAGTTTCCACAATTATAACCATCATCATCTTAACAGTCAAAGCCAATGTTGATTCACTGCTATGAGCCACCCATATATACACGTATATATATATATATATATATATATATATATATATATATATATCAACATCTTTAACTCACATCCACCATATAAGGGAAGCATTATGATCGTAATTTTACAGATGAGGACACCGAAGTCTAGAAAGATGAAGTAATTTGGTGAGATCACCTTTCTGGTAACTCTCAGAGCCAGGATTTGAATCAAAAGTCATGCTCTTGGGGCACTTGGGTGGCTCAGTGATTGAGCATCTGCCTTTGGCTCAAGGCGTGATCCCGGGGTCCTCGGATCGAGTTCCACATCAGATTCCCTGCAGGGAGCTTGCTTCTCCCTCTGCCTGTGTCTCTGCCTTTCTCTCTGCGTCTTTCATGAATAAATAAATAAAATCTTAAAAAAAAAAAGTAATGCTCTTCACTGCCACACTATATGAAAGCTGAATGTCCTCTGTCAAAGACACTGTTCAGAGGACAGACACCTGGAGATTAATCATCAGGAGTAGAAGGTCTAGTGAGGACCCCTGGTCCTACAACCACAGTGCCCTTCCCTCTTGCTGCCCCCCGTCCCCCACTGACATACTGCGGGCGGGATGTGTGCTCACTGGGAATGAGACTCCTCTGGATGCAGCCCAGCCAGCACTGGGCTAAATGGTTCTTTATCGATCTTCATTAGATGACAGATGTCCATGACTCAAGAATAGCATCTCCCTCAATTTCCTAACGACCTACCGGGGAGCAATAACCAGTTAATCTAAGAGATCGGGGTAACCCCAAAGTAGTTCCTGATAGATACTGCTTGTAAAACCACTCACCTAAGGACAGAATTCAGAAGTGAACAGAGAAAACATTTCATGGATCCCAATAGCTCATTTAATTTCTTGCTGTACCACAGAGAAGTATCGGTGTCCCTATTGGACAGATGGCAAAGTAGAGATTCAGGGAAATTTAGTAACAGAAGGCCCAGACCACTAAAATAAAACCCAGGGTCTAAACCGTGAGCTGAGTAACATCTCCAAGTCCTGTGCCGGGAAGCCCAGCACCAGCCCGCCGCCTTACACAGAACTGCTTAGAGTCTTCTCTCACAGCATTAACTGTGCTCCCAAGGCCAGGTGTAGCTTCCAACCCTCCCTGCCATGGTATCCTTTTTTTTTTTTTTTTTTAGATTTTACTTATTTATTTGTGAGAGACAGAGGGAGGCAGAGACATAGGCAGAGGGAGAAGCAGGTTCCCTGTGGGGAGCCCGATGGGAGACTCAATCCCAAGACCCCGGGATCAGGACCTGAGCCGAAGGCAGACGCTCAACCACTGAGCCACCCAGGTGGCCCCCTGCCATGGTATCCTAATCAGTCCTAGGTACTCATTGAGGTTTTTCTTGCCCCTGAAGAGGTTCTATACAAACCTTTTTTCTCCGGACTGTGTCATACTAATTCAGAATCATTTTAATGGGACAATTTCATGTTTACAGAATATAGTAATAGCAACTTACCTTCTGCCAAACCCATCTATCTTCTTTTTTCTTCCTTTCTTTCCCTCTAATTCTGTGACTGTGGGAACTGATTATGCTTTAGAAAAAGCATCGCACTAGACGTCATTAACTTTGCAGCTGGAGAGGTTACTGTGCACCAAAGAAAAGCATAATAAGAGAGAGCTTGTGTCTCTCCCTCTGTCCACTCACCACCATCACCTGCGGACGCACCCACTCAGAGGCACACGTGCACACAACCGTGCGCGAGCCCGCAACGTGCACACACCTGCACAGACACACGAGGATGTGCTCACATACATGTGCACACACAGTCCTCCACATACAAACACACACACCTGTGTGTGCACACACAGGATTGGCTCACTCCCTAAGACTCACTGGGAGCAAGGGTTCTTGGAAAGCAGGCTCTTCCTGTAAACAGTGTTCTTTCTGGAAATCGCCCCTGCCCTCTCTACTCAGACACACCCCCTTTTTGCTGGAAGACAGCCTCAGGGACTTACCTGGTGTATTTTATTAAAACAAAGGCTACAGTCACTTTCTAGCAATGACTGCAATGTGACTCCACAGTGTAAATAGAATTTTTATTTATTTATTGAGCAACAGGTTTGTTTTTTTTTTTAATCCACTGACAACTTTTTTCAGACACATTTCCAGGTTTACTCTAGATCTAGAATTATAAAAATCAAGAGCAATTATTACTCGGAAGTGACAATTTTCTTTATAAGGGATTCCCCATGCATGGAAAGAAGTGTCTCAGTGCCTCCAAGACATGGCTAGTAATAAAATCTAACTATATGCCTAGCTTTTCAGAGTCCTCCTTACCCTGTAAAGTTTGGGGGATGATCACCACTGAACCCACTGATATTTATAACTTAAGGTTCTTTGGAATAAACAAAAATGATGCCAAAAGGAACATCGGACTTGAAATCAAAAGTTAAAATGTCTTGAGTAGAATTAATTGCTTGAGACAAAGAAAAAGGAAAACTGCTTCAGAAGGCATTCAGAAATTCCAAAGGTAAACTCAAATAGGTGAGAACAGATGTGATCTGCAGAACTCCCAATGTGGGGCTGCCCTGGAGTCTTTTTCTAAGACTTGCAGTCTTGAGGCTACCTCTATACCCAATGTCCAAATCTCTTTCTCCTCCCTTGCTGCCAGCTAGTCATCAAGCAGGGCTAAATATAGGCCAGCCTTTTCTTGTTGTTTTTCCCTCCACTGGGGAAAGGATCATATTTTAGTCCAGAAGAAAGCAAGGATTGACTACTTTTCCTGGAAAGTGTATGTGTCCAATTCTTAATTTTGCAAGAACCAGGCAGCATAAATTCAGTTTATTAAAACTCTCGCACATTTGAGAGAGTGGTGATATTTATCCCTCCTGAACTTTAAATTATCTTGGGTGGTGAAATAGATCTTTAATTATGTATAGACACAAGACAACAGAACACAATGTGCAGGGTTTCTTTTTATATATATATATATTTCCCAAGAGCAAGAAAATGATAGGTTAAGCATTTAATATTCTTGCAGACTTCATTTTTATTTCCATCAAGTGCTGGAGTAAGTAAAATTTTCATTTTGGCATTAAAAAAAAACCCCTCCGTGGTATGAAATACATAGGTTTAAAATTGGCCTGATGTTTTCCCATTAGATTCAGGAGACTAGGAATTAGCAAGAATAGGCTTTTCCAATTTTCCATGGCATCTAACTTTACTTCTGGAAAGAGCCAGAGAGGAATAATTGTACATGTGCGAAGCACTGTGCACTTTGCCCAAAACATTTACATACAGCATTTCATTTTGAGGCTCACAACCCTGACAGGAGCTGCATTATTCTCTTTTCTGATCCTATCACAATGATGAAGTTAGAAAAGTTAATGGCAAAATACTCAAGGTCTAGAAAAGTCGGGCAATTTGACGAAGGTTTACAACCAATAAATGCAGAGATTTGAACTAGAAGTCAGAATTCCCAAATCCCAAATCAGGCCTTTTGACCACACTTACCACTGGAATCTAATTTTTCAGTAGGGCCTTGGATCTCTGGCAACATGGTATAAGACTTTTCTTTTCTTTTCTTTTTTTCTTTCTTTTCTTTTTAAACATTATGTATTTATTTATATAAGAGTCAGAAGAGCACCAGCAGGAGAGGCAAAGGGAGAGAGAGAATCTGAAGCAGACTCCGTGCTGAGTGCAGAGCCTAACATAGGGTTCGATCTCACGACCCTGAGATCATGACCTGAGCCAAAAACAAGGGTCGACACTTAACCCACTGAGCCACTCAGGTGCTCCTGGTAAGAGATTTCTTAACAGAGGACTCTCAAGGTGGTGCAGGAGAGTGGTCAAGCCCTTCTGAGGAATTCTGGACTGAACCTCAAAGGACCTTCCTCACCCCGCCTCAAACAGCAGTGGTGAGTACACAGGAATTGCCTCTTCTCTAGCTTTGACCTCTCTCCCAAAACCCATTAATCAGTCTGACTACCAGGAGGGCCAGGCTGAGAATGTGCCTTTGGCTGATTATTCCAGGGTCAGTGAGCAAAGGCGCCATGAGCGTTGGCCACCACACAAGTACAGGGAGTGGAAGTGTAACTTAAGGGTCAGGGCCATGACTTTGCTTTCCAAGGGGTATTGGGGACCTGAAAGTGTGCATTTTTTTTTATAAGCCTGCCTTCCTGTCCTGAGTACTTCCACTATGCATTGTTTTGCCTGCAAATGACTAATTCTGTCTCCCAATGCAAGTCCTTTTTATTTGGCAGGAGCGTGGGGGGTGGTGGAGGGGTGGAGGTAGTACACTGTGTAAATCATATTCATTAAAATTTTAATTCCACTGCCTTTATCAGATCCTTTTTTTAAGGTTATAAGGAGGAATTTTTTTCTTTTTTTTTTAATTTTTTTTTATTTGAGAGACAGAGAGAGAACACAAGCAGGGTGAGCAGCAGGCAGAGGGAGAGGGAGAAGCAGACCCCCACTGAGCAGGGAGCCTGATGTGGGGCTCTATCCTAGGACACTGGGATCATGACCTGAGCTGAAGGCAGGCAGGCGCTTCACTAACTGAGCCCCTATCAGATTCTTTATCAGACCTGGAAAGGGTTTCAAACTGGGAGCTGGTGGAAACTGATGGAAGCCTCCCCACGGAAGTGTTTTATTGGGCAAACTCTGAGGTCAATAGTGCTTTCAACTTGACTGCTCCAGACATAGCACTTGCTCCCTTATGCACCACAGGCTCCTGCGTCCCGCAAGATGACACCCACCGCTTACCTGAAGGCAAGTGTCTCAGGCTGTCCCCCTGAACTTTGGTCTCCAGCCTAGGACAAAGCATGGATATTTCCTGATGAGGGTTGAGACACAGGGAGGCAAGAGGCTCAGATCCAGAGAGAATGGGGCATCTTCTCTTTGGAGTAACCAAGCAGTCAAGCGAATCCGAAAAAGAGAAGCTGCCAAGGGAGAAGGGGTTACTGAGATACCACAAAAAACCCACTGGACAGTTGTGCCTCTAATGGAACCACCGCGGTGAGCTCTTGGAGTTCCCCCTACCTCCATTGCAAAAAGCTGACCCTTTAGCACCAAAGGGCATCAGGAAGAGGAGGTCCCTCCCTCTCCTCACCCCCCACAGCCCACACCCTGGCACAGGGCGCAGGGTAGATTTCTCTCCTAATCCCAAGGCAGGAAGTACGAGACCTGGTGACTAGCGTCCTACTCTGTGGAAATGTGCTCTCATTGGCTTGCTCTCCATCCTCACCGCCTCGGTCACATGACAAACTCTTTGCAGAGTCCCCAGTCCTCTGCCACCCTGTGCCTCCTGGAGACACACTTACTGCTTTTGATCTCCTTTTGATGGGCTAACCCCTCTGCACAGGCGGATCTGTTGTTTGCATGCACTCTTTTTAAACTGATGAAGAAGCAGAGGTACAGCAGTGGCTCCTTTGATTTTTATCTTCCGCATATTGACCATAAATCCTCTCGTGTGTTTTTAGAAGTGACTTGCTTCCTTCCCGATTTTATTTTCAGGAGGTTAAGAAAGTAACTGGACAAGGAGTAAGGACTCCAGGCATTGTGATTGTGGCCATGCACTAGACGCGTGCCACTCTCTGCTTGTGTTCCAACTGGGCACAGCAAGCAAACAGAAGCATCTTTTCTTAAGTACCTCTAGTCGTCATGTCGAGATCTGAAATTACAATAAGGGACAAGATTATTGTTATTTTATTATGAATCTATATTTATATCTGCTTCGTTCCAGAAACGATTCGAAGCAGCATTATGTATGAATTTCTGATCCATGTGTGGGAGCAGTTCCATTTGGTTTTTTTGGTTTTTTGTTTTTTACCAAATCCACTTGTTAATGATTGATATGTTAATGATGTGATTAATCCATTGGGCTTGATTCATTTATATCATCATTTACATTTCATCAAGATGTATTTTCAAGGAGACACTTGATGTCCTCAAAATGCTCCATTTCTCAGCATGGGGACTGCTATTTGCCATTTAAGCAAACCAAATCTGACTTTCTAACTGACAGGGAAGCTGCAATCTACGTGTGTGGAGGTGAAGGAAGCCCACCAAGGCTTCCAGAACCCTGGAGGAGCCCACTTGTTCTTACGCCTCTGTTTTTTTTTTTTTTTTCATAAGGTACATTTCTTGATAAGATACACAGGTCTGTACAATGTCTAAAAGGAATCTAGGAGAGAATAATCACCACCTACCCCCAGAAGGCTGAAAAAGTGCCCAAAAAGCCTTGGGCCCCAGGCACTAGAACGGCCCTGCAGCCGGTGAAGAAAGCTATGTGGGTGAGTACTGGTCTGTGACACCTCACAGTTAGGATGCAACCTTCTGGGCCACATCGGTGTAGGCAAAAGTGGAGTCGAGTTCACGGGAGACAGAAGAGTTAGGCCAGAAAGGGGGCACGTGAGTGTTTTCAGTAGGACACAGAACATGAAAACGTTTTGAATGCACAGTGAGAAAACTGGCCTCTGCTTTCATTTTTATTTTCAATTCCCTTTCAGGGCTTCCAAGTACCTTCAGGAGAAAGTCTCTACTGAGTGGTAGTAGACATTTAACACCCCTCTCACTCCGGCTAAGTTGAACTGGCTAAGTAAGGAGCTGGCATTGGGCTAAGAACTGGGCAAGCAACAGTAACTAGCTCCAATCTAGTGATTTGCTTCCTTTTTTGTTGTATTTGGATTAATGGTGAGCTTCTCTTTCTATCAAGGAATGCTAGTTGTCTGCTGAGGTAGTGATGCGAAGGTCTTGTTTAAAATAAATGTATTTAAGTATTTTTATTTTTTTTAAGATTTTATTTATTTTTTCATGAGAGACACACAGAGAGATAAAGAGAGGCAGAGACACAGGCAGAGGGAGAAGCAGGCTCCATGCGGGGAGCCCAATGCAGGACTCGATCCCAGGACCCCAGGATCACGCCCTGAGCCAAAGGCAGATGCTCAACTGCTGAGCCACCCAGGCGTCCCAAGTATTTAAGTATTTTTAAATCAATTTGCAAAAATTAAAATAAATTATTATATAGGTGACATGTTAATGGTGACATTTGGGGCACAGGAGAAAAACATAAAGGGTCTTTGATGCAAGACATGAAGCTGATGTCCTGAGAACAAAGTTGGCATCAACCCCAGAAGAGTGGAGTCTGAGACCAATATTCCTACTGATAAGCCACAGGAGGGGATGAGTGTCTAGCTATTGATCTCCCCATCTATAAACTGGAAATGATAAAAATATTAACTTGACTTCTTCACAGATTTGTGCTGAAGGATCAAATGAGACAGTGTAAGGGAAAGCCTATTACAAACTGTGAAGTATGATATCCATGTAAGGGATTATCACAATACTTGAGCATGTGGGGAAGGATCAGGGAGGATAAAAGCAAGCCAGGCGGAAGAAAATTAATTAGTAGAAAGTTCTACCATCCTGTTAGGTAGATGGGCCTGGGTTTGGGGGAAGGCAGGTAGTGGCCCAGGTTATCATTTGGTTTGTACCATGAGGGCAGGGATGAGAGGGAAAGAAATCAAAAACAAAAAGAAAGGCCTGCAGGGAGAGAAGAGACAGCCGGGGAGACCTCGAGTCTGGGCGAAACCATCATGAGGGTAAAACCACCACTAAACCACCACAGAAGGCTCTGTGCCCCTTCCCCACCTGCTCCTGCCCCCCCACACGGCTGCCTTCCGCTGGGCCCTGGAGCATGCAGCCAAGCGCTCTGGGCCCACCACACGGGTGGCTGCTGGGTGGCCTGCCTGAGGTGTCCTCGGAGGGGACAGAACGGGGAGAGCAAACCCACGAGGCTTCCCTTGACTTTTCACAGCCAGGGCCCAGTACAGAACCTGAGAGAATGGGGCCCAGGAAGCATCTGTGCAGTGAGCGCAAGGATGAAGACATGGAGGGAGGAAAGGAGAGAGAGAGAGAAATAAAAAGCAAGGAAGGAAGGAAATACAAGTGCCAGCTTGCAGACCACAGCCCCAAAGAGCTCAGGTGGTGAGGCCAAGGCCAGCATCACCTCCTGCCCCTTTGCTGTAGCAGTGACAACCAGGAGGCAGCAGTGGAGCCAAGTGCGGGACCTGGAGTCCTATGGAACTGAATGTCACCCTCCCTTTGGCCATCTGCTCGCTGTGGGGCACAGGGCACGTTCCCACCTTCACCGACCGTGTGTCTCACGGACACCATGGGAACGCGCAGGCCGGCCTCATGGAGTTATCGAGATCAAATGGGAAAAAACACGTGCACACGGTAGATGGGCCAGGGTTGTAGCTTTAATTCCTACGGCTGTTGTTGTTATTACATATGCTCCACAAAAATGCAGAGGAATTATTTTGATTCTGTAAAAAGTGTGACACGATATGGATTTTCATTCCATAAACAGATTCTTATACTTTGCTTCCTAATTAGACTGTATCTGTCATGCCTGTAATTCCTGTGTAATTAAATTGAAATTAAATGTCAATTTACTTTGAATTACAGAGTAATTCTATGTATACATGCCACGCAATCTGCATTTTGTTAGGAGATGACAACCAAAAATATCCTGACAGTCCCTCTGTAATTACACAGTGATCTGATTAAGATCAGTGTGACAAACTACCTGCCAAGTCCTGAAGAAGAAAAACTAGGGGCTGCTGGAGGGGTCGGCAGAGGTTAGGTGTGGGAGGGGAGGGGGAGCTCACCGCTGACCCTGCCGCTCCCCCTTCAACCCACAAAAATCCTGAACCAACGGTGATCATGTGCGCAGGCAGTGGGGGTGATCTTTTAAAAGAAAAAAAGAGAGAGAGAGAGAGAGACCTTAATTATAGAACATGCTAACTGGCACTGCCTCCTCTTCACTCTCTAACCCAGCAGTTTTAATTAGGTTGGCATCTGAGGTCCCGAATCCCCCATACCCCAAAGACAGTGATAAATGGAGAGAGAATATTTCAAACCTCATCCAGGAATTTTATCTTTCTATCACACATATAAAATGGCTTCCATCCTCCAACTTTAAAAGAGAAAGAGAGAGAGAGAGATGGAAATAATTCATATTCCATTCTTCTGTACCCAACACGCAGGTTGACGTTATATCATTCCTGAGTGCAGGGGCCCTGGGAAAGGTGAGGTAGGTGGGCCCTGGGCTGGGGGGGGGGGGGCAGAGGCGGCCAGGACAGGGAGGAACCAGGTCAGGAGCTCCCATCTGGGAAGACGCTCACAGACATGGAGGCACAGAAATGGAAAAATCACCACCCGTGGTTTCTCCCTCATCTCCTTGCCCCAAGTCTACTCTGTGACTTTCCCTCAGCCTCCCAGAACCTGGCTTTGCCCCTTGGTGCCCTCCTCACCCGGGAAAGCTTACTCCCGTCAGTCAGCTAAACTCAATCCTGACACTCCTTTGGGATGAGGAACTGGTTATTTTCCATTTCCTCAGCAGAAGTTTCCTTTCTCTGCTCCTCCTCAGGCCTCAGACCCTGTCCTGGTTGAGCCTGCAGGGCCCCCAGTGCCAGCCGTGGGGGCAGTGGGAGGACCTCAGAGCTCACAGGCCCCAGAGCCCGGCAGAAGGGGCAGGGCATGGGCTCTCTTTCTTACAAGATCTGACCCCAAACAAGTTGTTTGACCTCTATGAGCCTCCATGAGCCTCAGTTCTCCCAAATATAAATGGAAATGAATATAAACTGTCCTGACTATTGCATAGGCTCGTTGGAAGGACCCCTGAGCTACAGTAGATGGAGATGTATAGGAAAAAGTAAAGACCCAGGTTTGGTACTACGATCATCTCCATAGGAACTATGTTAGAGTTCTCTCTTTTGCAGACGACTAAAAAGCCAAAATGTCCACGGTGGATGTGGCTTTGGGCCTGGCCAGGTTCAGGAATCACGCAGTGTCGATAGATCCCGTTTCTCTGCATCTCCAGCCTCTGCTGTCAGCAGTGTGGCCTTCACCCTC